ACTGCTATGTCCTCACATGGCAAAAGGGGCAAGGCAGCGAGCTCCCTTCAGTCGCTTTTGTAAGGGCATTAATCCCATTCATGAGGACAGAGCCCTCATGGCTTAATTGCCTCCTAAAGGCCTCACCTATTAATTTTATCACATTGGAGATTAAGTTCTGACATGGGTTTTCGAGGTACACACATTTGGTCTATGGTCTATAGAAGTACCTTTACCCTAAGAAGAAGGCCTTCCTTTAGTTTTCTGACATGTTTTTCTGGTTGGCAAGTATTCCGAGTGTGCTCAGTTCTGATAAGGAGAAGTGTAGCACCCATTTAAATAATACTCATCTTGAAGATCTATGCTTCATTTTGTAAACCTTAAGAAGCCCCTCTAAGTATCTTTTTCTGTATAAACTCAGAGATACAGAGACTGAATCACACGAGGTATTAAATAAAGTAAAATTTAAAGTTAAATGAAAGCAAAAAATTAAAGCAAAGAAATTTTTAATTATTGGGCAGAATTTTATTAACTAAAGCGGATATCATGGATAAAGGAAACAGAAAGCACAAAATGGCCTGAAAGGACCAGCATCAGTATAGCCAGATTCACATTGGTCTTTAGCCTGGTGCAGTACTCCATTCACCTAGCGGATAGATGGAAATGTTTGTGGAGGCCTAATAGCATTAAGTGGGCCTCGGACGATGGATAGTAAATTCTCTGTCCTGTGAACAGAGAATTCTCTTGCCCCAAATGCCAGTGGTATGAAAAACTGTAGAGAAAATTTAAGCTTCAGGATATTATCTTTCTCTAAAGAGCATTTATATTTGCTTCTGTCAGCAAACACTGGTAGAGCAAAACACTTGTATAAAGTTATTGTATTACTCAGAGTAGGCTAAGCTGCTAGGAGAAGTAGGCCCCCCAAATTCTGAGACTTAAGAAGAAATTTGGCTGGGCATAGAGGCTCACGTCTGTAATCCTAACATTTTGGGAGGCCGAGGTGGGAGGATTGGTTGAGGCCAGGAGTTCGAGACCAGCCTGAGCACAAACAAGACCCTGTCTCTACAAAAAATAGAAAAATTAGCCAGGCATGGTGGCAGGTGCCTGTGGTCCCAGCTACGCAGGAGGCTGAGGCAGGAGGATCACTTGAGCCCAGGAATTTGAGGTTGCGGTGAGGAATGATGACGCCACTGCACTCTGACCTGGGCAACAGAGTGAGACACTGTCTAAAAAAAAAAAAAAA